TGTATTTTCAGATGCCAAGAACCACTTTGAAATTTTAATTCTCATTTTCTGAAGATGTATAAGCAGGGCACTTTTCTGAAGATATATAAGCACACAAGGTGATTTCCTGAAAAATACAAAAATATTTCTGAGTTGAGTAGCCAATTGCAGCTTGGATTTCAGCCCCTGTCTGCCCCTCAGCTCACGGTGTTTGTGCAGACCACACCTGCCCAACAGGACCTGGTGATGCTTAGTACAGGCTAACTCCCTCATCATTCAGATTTGCAGTTGCTATTTTACCAGTCAGGTTCCTGTAGCCCAGGGTAAACATCTTGCAGTTAAAACTATTACATTTGGAGAGAAAAACATCACATATCATGATGGACCAATAAAAAGAAAATATAGTTATATCTGAAAATATTAAAATGTAAGATGAGATACTCTCCCAAATGTTGTATTAAATCTACAACTGAATTAAAAAGTATTCTTACAGCCCTTCATAGTGGGATATTAAAATGGGGATTATTAGCTAATTTCAATATAATATTATATTCAAACCATATGGTATAATGGCTTAATTTTAAAAGATGGCCAAAGCAAAACAAAGCAATAGTACACAACATATCAGAGATAACTTATAATCACATTATGGGACATATATTTCACATTCTGTGTTCAAGTTGCCATCTCCTAAGTGGAATTTAGCATTAAGGAAAATGTAGACACATTCCTTATATGTTAGCTCAAAGCTAGAATACAACTAGACTGATATCTTTTTAAAATTTAAAAGAAGCCCTGGCTGGCATAGCTCAGTGGATTGAGTGCGGGCTGCGAACCAAAGTGTCTCAGGTTCCATTCCCAGTCAGGGTACATGCCTGGGTTGTAGGCCATGACCCCCAGCAACCGCACATTGATGTTTCTCTCTCTCTCTCTATCTCCCTCCCTTCCCACTCTAAAAATAAATAAATAAAATCTTTAAAAAATAAAATAAAATTTAAAAGAAAGCTTTCTCTGCCTTTAACAAACACCCTCTTCATCATGCCAAGTGAAAAATTGCTAGAGAAAGCATGAGATGCAACCTCTCGTATGTAGGTATGGGAAATTAAAATCTTGTTAAGTTCAGTGTGCAGCAATCTGACAGGGGCTAGAGTATGAGAAGAACAGGAATTATAGAGTGTTTAGAATCAAGGAAATTCAGCAAAGATTTTTTTAATGTACTAAAAAAAAATGAATGCCAAAGACACACTAATGAGAAACTAGGAGAGATGTAAGATAATATGGTATAGACATGGTTCCAATTTCAACTACCAAATCATCTTTCAGTCGCATCTTAATGCATAAAGAGGAACAACAGTCTGAAAGAAAAGAGAGAGAAAAGTTATGAGGCATCTTTTGTTATTACTTGTACTAAGAAATTTCACATTCTCACAATTTCTAAATTTTATTCAGCACTACCTGGCTATTTAAAACTCTTCCTTAGCCTATTTTAGTTTTTCTCACTGACCTCACCATGAGTGAGCAAATTACTTCAGCAGAAATAAAGACTAGGATTTAATCATCATCATTAAATGGCATATTATGTAGTATACATTAAGGTAGCTTTAGATGTATGTTAATAATTTTTAAACTAGTAAATGTCGGGCATGGTGGGGCACGTGGTGGTTGTTCTCACTGGGATCTCGCAACAGTTCTGCTAATAACTAGCAATCATTTAATCTCTGATCCTTGGTTTCTTCATCTATAAAATATGGAAACTGAATTATAAATTTTAAACATCCTTTACAAATTCCAAGGTCTGGTTCTCGTTTTTCTCTGTGACATATATGAAATAATTTAGACCAACAAGAGTTCTCCATCATTAGAAGGCTATGTACTAGGATGATTAAATCATCCTAGTACAATTTAAAATTAGAGACTAAAGATAATTTTGAAAGGCTTAGGGAAAAGGAGATGAGAAGAATAATGAAACATTTAAAAAGCTAAAGGGAAAAAAGAAAATCAAATATCTGAAAATTTGCATTGAAAGGTTTTTGAAAGACTGCCTGTTATAGAAATTCTTTAACCTTAACACTTTAATAATTTTTTAATTTTCCAATTGACTTTTTTTTCTGTTTAGAAGAAGCCCTCAGGAGCAAAAAGATTACTGCCTTCACTAAATAGTGCATAAAGGCCAATTTAGGTATTAATTTATGGAGCGAGCCAATACAAGGCATTGTCAAACATAGAAGTAGTGTGTTTCACAAAAGAACTGATATTTAGAGTATCTTCAAAGACCATTACAACAGCATGTTAAGATGCTAATTCTCAAACATTTCCAAGTAACTTAAAATGTTGTATTTGTAAATTTATTTAAAGGAATGATTATTGAAGACATCAACTGCCATCAACTCTACAGTAGTTACTTTCTTAATTTCATAATGGGAAATAAAATGTCCATAATTTAAATAAAGTTATTTAAGCAAAATACATTCCCACATTTATGTTAAGTAATTAATCAAAAACTATTTCCTGCAAAGCAATTTTACATTGAGCTTTGTATAATGGCAAACGTGGGCTCCCTGCTTTCAGGTGATTGGCTAGCAGGTGCCCTGGTCCTTTTGCGTAAACGCTAAAATAGCCCTGAGTTCTCTCTGCCCCATAAGTCACATGGTGGCAAAATTCCAGCATAGCAGTAGTTTTGTTTCATTTTTTTAATGATTCTACTAACATAAAAATTAAATTACTATAAAATTTCTAACCTAATGAATCTATTGTAGATCTTCATTTTAAAATAAAGCTTATTTTTAAGTCTTCAGACACTGCAATTAGGAAATTATTTTCATACAATCACAGAATTTAAAATGCAAAGTTAATTGAAAGTGTAAAGACAAAAAGCAAGTGCTATACCTAAATTAGTGCATGACACAGTCATATTTCACTTAATTTTCAAGTCAGGACATAAATTAACAATTCTAGATGTGACATGCCAAATATTTCAGACACAGGAGAAAGCACACAACAAAATCTGTACCAATTACATGTATAGATTATAAGGCAACAAGTTCATGCTGAAATATTGACAACAAATAATGTTTCCCTTATTTTAAGGAAGTGATTGATGCTGCATATATATTCCATCACCACTTTATACAGTACTGAAATTTCATAAACAGAATTTTCCCAAGATTCATATTATACCCAAAGTCAAAATATTTGAAAGCAACAAAGAACACTTTCACTCTGAGTCTAAGAACAATATTTTTGTTTTAAAACAATTCAAAGGAAATAAATATTACACAAAAGGACTCCATCAAAAACAAATAATATGAAGTTTTACAACATAGATATATGTACAATTTGCCTTAACACTCTAAACGTCACCCTATTTTTGTGAGCATTTTCTGCTTATAATGTTGAGAGTTAAAAAAAATTAGAACTTTTAACTTTTTCTAATCATTTATGTGAATCTACAGCCTTTCTTTAAAAAAATCACACTTGGTAATTGAAACATAAGGCTATTTAGTTAGGAATTATAACTAGCCAACACAAAAACAAGAAAAATATCTAAAAAATGTACAGATTTCTCTAGAGTGAAAGTTGAACCAATAAAAATATGAAATTATATTTGGACACACTCAAGTAAATTATAAACATAATTTATAGGGAATATAAAGGAAATCACAAGGAAAATGGAGATTTTAAAACATCCTCACCCAACATGTAAATAAAAGAGGAAATATTATTCTTGTTTATTTGAAACTATAATACAACCACAATAAATAAATAATTTCATTCTCATATATGCAGAAACAATCTATGAGAAATAAATTTAATAAGTAAACTCATTCTCTTTATATAACTTTTTTAAAAAAGCATTCACATATGCAATTTTAAAAACTGATTACATGATTTAGATTTTCTAGAATAGCCAAATAAAGGTACTTTCTAAATGTGTTGCAATTTAAAAATAACTTGTCATATAGAACTCAAAACATCCTACTTTGTATTATACTTATTAGTCAATTTACTTTCTTTCCCCCCCACACCTGCATCCCTGTTCTCATTCCCAAATTAGACTTTAAAATCCCTGAAGGCAGAACCTACCCATCTTTTAACTTCCCTGTTGGGCTCCATATGTGGCAAATAAGATATGGGATGCCCCACATTAATTAAAGAATGAATAATTGCATGAATGAGAATGAAAGTATGTAAAACCCTCAGATTTTTACCTTTGATATCTCACCCAAGTTAAATGAAGATAGGAGTTCAGTACGTATTTCCACAGAGGGAGAAATTATAAGCACTACTGGTTTATGTGATAATATACAGGTGTATCCTTCAGAACCCTGTTACCCAAGTTGTGCTTTGCAGAACACTAAAATGTGGGATAGTAAAAGGTTTCCTCTCCTTTTAATAAAAGGGTTCCATGGTCAAATCATTTGGCAAATTGAGTCTAAAGAAATACAAGTAACATTTCTTTACTCCTCAAAGCACACGACACACTACGATGCATTATCACCTTTTCAGAACCTATCGAAAAGTTCTTTTGGTCTTTGATCATCTCAGTCGGTGTGTGTTCCATGGAAAGGAGTTTAGAAAACAGTATTTTAGAATAATAAAAGATACCGTGTTAAACTCCTTCACCAAAGCACAATTATAGTTTTGTAGGAAGTATTTAATGTTCCATGTATTATTCAGAATTCATCACTTCTGTCTCCACAGGAAGTACAATAAACACTATATTATCATGAGCTTTGTGCAAGCACTCACTCATTTTGAAAGGGTGGAAAAATATCTATTTACAGTTATTGATGCTTTCTGTAGAACTTGGTTGTTTTACTTCATTTAAGATTTTTAAGCCCTGGCTGGCGTAGCTCAGTGGATTGAGCGTGGGCTGGGAACCAAAGTGTCCCAGGTTCGATTCCCAGCCAGGGTACATTCCTGGGTTGCAGGTCATAACCCCCAGCAACTGCACATTGATGTTTCTCTCTCTCTCTCTCTCTCTCTCTCTCTCTCTCTCCCTCCCTCCCTCCCTTCCCTCTCTAAAAAAATAAATAAATAAAATATTTTAAAAAAAATAAGATTTTTAAAATTTTTTTCTCAAGATATCTCCTAGGTCCCTCTTCCTTTTCTGTTCTTTTCCTTCTGCGTGTGTATATACAAAAGTAATAGGCATCTGAAAAACATCTTCTGGTAATGTATCTTTAAGCTTGATTAATTTCTGGAATTTTTTAGAAAACATTATTACTTATCTAACAAATAGGGTGACTATGAAATTTCTATGAAGAAAACACCAATGGATATTGTCTTAAGAATTTATGCAGGTCCTTTATGATTCTGAAAAATAACTTAATTTGTCTTCTGTTTTACTAAACTACACATATCATCATGAACAATGTTGTTTTGGCACAGAGAGAAAAGTACTGTTGGAATTAAAAGGACAGGTGGAAGCCAGCTAACTCTACAGTGTGGGCGGTCACAAGATTTAGACCTACAGCCAGCTCTACCACTAGCACTGTGACTTTGACACATTACTCCAGGTCTCAGAATGTCAGGTATCTCATTTAATGAGAGGGTATAGCAACTTTAGTGGCTCTCAAACTGTTTGCTTCAGGGCTACTGTGTGATGGATTATAAAGAGTAAGGGAAGGTAGGGGTGGGGGACCTGAGGGAGTGCCACCCTGACCTCACTTCCATCTTCCAACTAAGTAGCTCCACTTTTCCATGTTTTATATACTAAAACATAGGACAATATTTAATTTTTTAAAGATCCTGCTTAATTTTTAAAAAATAGAAGATACCATAGATTGTATGATGGAAAGTTTTGGTTAGACACAAAATACTCTAGTTCACATCTTTAATGAACATGTTTTCATCTCACTTTTCTCAACACATTTCTCCATTCATTCGTATGCTCTTGATTCAAGTAAAATAAAGCCCAAATGACATTTATTATTTTATAGCTTATTTTACACTTTACAATAGCTTTCTTATTAAATAGATGAATTGATGTGTTGCTTTTAAAAAATATATTACAGACAACATGAAAATTGGCTAGAGCCAACTCCTGATTGATCTTAGAGTTATTTTTTCATGCTGCCTTTGAGCACTTAAATACTGAACTGCATTATCTTTGAGGTAGACAACAACAACAAAAGAGGAGCAAAAACATTCACATAAAGAGGGAAAATGAGAAAGAAAGCTGTAAGAGATTTTCTTTTAACATGGTTATCATCATTAGGCTTTGCAGTCTTCTTTGACACAAAGTTGAGAAATAGTCTTCTTTATACGAAGGGCTGTTAGGCGGGCTGCCCCATTGGCATACCAACACTCTCTCATTATTCTCCCCATGACTCGGAGTGCCTTTAAGAGAGAAAAACACCCAAGACTTTACTCACACAGAACAAACTATGAGAGAAGCAAAACCACACACCCAGGAATTGATGCTAAGCTCTGATGAACAAATAGTAAATTTAAAACAATATGAGGAGGTTAGGATATTTACACAATGGAATACTACTCAGCCATAAAAAAGAATAAAATTTTACCCTTTTTGACAGAATGGATGGACCCTCCAGCTCCTTTCTTCTCTTGACCTAAATACCTAAAAACTATGTGTTGAAATAGCAACCCAAGACCAAAGTCACCTGGATTACTGAATCACACAGGAAACACAGATGTTGTTGAAAGTTGCCTAACCTGTAGGGGACTTTGAATAGCAAGAAATGAAGTCTTGTTGTGTAAAGTCACTGGGATGTCAGGGTTTGTAAATGCCCCATAACTTTCATGAGAATATGTATTATTCCTTTTAACCATATTTTGTATTTTATATTTTAACCATATCTATATGATTAAAGGGAATAAAATCAAAGACATACCTAAATATATGAAATGAACTGGATACCTGGATTAAAGGAGAAAAACTATATGGTCTCTGACTATATGGTCTCTGATACTTACCTCAAAATTGTAATAGAAAAAATATGCATAAGAACTTAGCCTTACTTCACAGCTTTGCCACTGGTTTGGGATACTTGGTCGAAACTTCTGGTCACAAACAACCTTCCTCATTTCCTCTATTGAGGGATCTGAAGGCACCATGTCATAATAAGGCAACTGGTACTCCTCAACAATTCCTATAAGAAATTTGCACAATAAATCTACCAATGTGAATAATACACAAAAATGCTTATTTTAAAATAATACCAATTAAGTCTTCTAGGCACAAGGGTCACCATGGGAAACCAGAAGGTCAGGGTTATTAAAATTATGTTATCACTATGAAACTAAATATGTAAGTTTAAAGCACACAGTTGAATAGTTATTATGTAAGTTCATAAAATTTTATATTGTAAAATTTATGTAATTTTATATATAATCTATACAAAAATTATATGTAATTATTTTATACAATAAATATGTTATATAATTATCTGTTATATATAATATATAATTTATATGCAAATATATTAAATATATAATTTAATAATTATATAAAACATAGTTTATATTATGAAAATTATGTAAATTTTTATTTGCATAACATTCTATCATGTAATTCAAATGTAACACCTAATTGTGAAATTTATAGCATGGCCTCATTGCTTTATGAATAAAGTATATTTCTCCATTAAATAACTTTTCCAAAATAGAATAGCTTTCTCTTTTTGAAAATTGTTGGGCAATCTTTTAAAAACTAAATCTCTTACATTTGGATTTTAGAACTTCTATACCTGAGACTATTTCCAAGAAGCAACCAAAGTATGTGAAGATGGATGGTTCATCATGAAGGTTAAGATTTAAAGAGTCTCAGGTACATAGGCAAAGACTAAACCTGAATTACCAGAATAGTACTTGAATTCAACAATTTCCTTATAAAATCATTTGTATTAACCACAGTCTTTTTCATTGAAAATATTTAAGATATGGCATAATATTAGACAATGAACTTCAAATCATATTAATTACATTACTATTCTGACAGTTGAAGGAAACTTAAGGACAAAAAACAAAAAGCAAATCTAGACAAATATCAATAAAATTTTTAAAAATGACAAACCTGTTTGAATCTTGCTATTTGCCAAGCATGTCCTAAGCCCTTTAAATGTTTTAACTAATCATTCCCCAAAACCACTGACTAAAGAAGGTACCATAATATCCTCATTTCACAGGGCAAGGAAACTGAGGCACAAAGAGAGGCATGACTTTGCTGACGGTCCCACAGCTAGTAAGTGGCTGATCCAGACCTGAATCCCAGGCTCAGGGACATCAGTGTCCGTGTTCCACACCACTGTATTTGGATTGCTGCTACAGACAGTTTCATCTTCCGGAATGCTTTATTATCTCATCAATAAACAATGGGGGAAAGTTTGTTTTCTCATTCAAATGCAATTTTAACTTGTAAGTTTTCCAATTTTTTTAAATGAGATCAATGTGAGGCAAAATGAGATCAATATAAAATGCAAAAAGTGACAGTATTTTAATAATGACAGTTCTTCCATTGAATGTTTGACTAGGAGCATGCTCTGTACTAAAAGCTTCACATAAATTAATTGAAGTAATCCATTAAATCCTCAAAGCCAGTACAGTCAGTTTTATTATTTCTTCATTTTACAAATGAGCAAAATGAGACTGAGTAACTTGCCTAAAGTCAAATGTTCAGGAAGGTGCTAAACCATGTCTGTCTCAAACCCTAAGTCTGTCTCACTTGAAAGAGAAAGTTCTACCAGGGATGTCCAACCTTTTGGCATCTCTGGGCCACATTGGAAGAAGAGCTGTCCTGGGCCACACATTAAATACACAAATACTGATGAAAACTGAAGAGTAAAAAAAATGGTTTTAAGTAAATTTACAACTTTGTGTTGGGCCACATTCATAGCCATCCTGAGCCACATGTGCCCACAGGCCAGGGGTTGGACACCCCTGCTCTACATCATTTAATCCCAGTATTTACTTTTCTCCACTGATGCAACAGTTCCAACAGGCTGCATTTGTAGGGCTTCATTCTCTCAAATTCTTCCTCTCATTATTCATCTCTAACCTGCTGGGAACAATAGTCAGGAACTTCATCTTTGCTCACCTCCGACCTCTACTTTATCCCCCACACATTCCTCATCACAGGAAAGAAAAGAAAAGCCCGAGAATCAGAAGACTTCTGTTCAAGTCCTGTGGCCTTGACAAGCCATTGAACTTCTTTGGATTTCATTTCTGGCATAAAATAGGAATACAGCTAACTGAGTGCAAACTCCAATAAAAGTTTTAAGTGCTTTGCAAAGTGTCATTATGGAAATCAGAGTATCAAGAGAACTGTCAACCCCCACCGAAGCGATAATCATAATATAAAATCTCCATTATATGCAGGACCCTCCATTTTCACAACTTAAAAGTTATACCAAAAGGTATTCTCTTAAATATTAAAAAACAATTCAAAATAGTGCTTAGGAAAAAAATCACATGATATGTTGTATTCAGAATATCAAAGAAAGCAGACACACAGAATATGTGCAAATTCTTACCTCCAACTGAGCACCTTCGGGCTATTTCCCAGTAAACTAGACCAACAGAATAGATGTCAGCTCGTTTGAAGGACTCAAAGATATTCACATTCATTGTATCATCAAGCATTTCAGGAGCCATATACCTTCAAAAACATGCACTATTCAGATTCTGTGTATGAATTTATGGCAATCCAGTAAAACACAATCTTAATAAATCCTGATATAAAATATAAGTTGAGATAGCTTACATTAAATTTCACACATGGATCTGAACTATAATAATAGAATAAAATTAAATAATACAGTTATTGAATCAACCATAATTTTAAAAATATTTTAACTAGAACTAGAGGTCATCCCCTCATATTAGAGCATGAGTGCCAGGAGCCAAATACTTGGAAAGTACAAGCTGGAGGGGATTCAGTAAGCAAAACACTCAGCAAGAGAAATGAAACTCAATTTCCACCAGTAGCTCTTGCCAAGGAAAGCTCCTTGAGGGCAATGAGTCTGTTTTATTCACATGGGCCCAGAGCTCCAAGCCAGGGCTCAGCAGCATTCCACAAATATCTGCCCTGAAGGAGCAATTTTATCACATACTGGCTTCAAGCAATATATACATCTCATATATTCGTTCCCACAAGATTACACTTTTGTTTTAACAGGACCAAATCAAAGTAATCTATAGTTCATTGGACCTGACTGAGCCTAGCTATCCCAGGAAGATTTTGAGAATTTTTCAGAATATTCCAGTGAGGATGCAGCACGCTCCCAAACTGTTTTTACAAGTTTTAGATCCCCTAAGGGAATCCAGCATTCAAGGCTTCCCTGAGGCTCCCTAATGTGGGGATAGTCAGATAAGGCAAGTCAAAACTTGCTTTTTATAAGGAAAAGAAAAGAATTCCCTTTGGGCTGCCCAGTCCAAATGAACTGTCCTGAAGTGTTTCTGGGGTCTTATTAAAGTCTCCAAGGAAGCAAGTGAAGGGACTCAGAGGGACTGGCCTGGATTCTCAGTTCTGGCTTGGAGGCCAACTATGCCATCTTAGAAATTCTCAACCCTCAAGGGCCTTTAACAACTCCAGGAAATGTTTTGGTTGTTTCTCATTTCAAGGTCAAGAAACCTGGAATTATGCCAAAGTGGCACAGAGCCTGAAATACAAATAAAAGGAAATGGAAGCATGTTGGCCCTACAGCCACAGGCTGGCCATAATGAGAAAACACCAGACATTCCACTACGAATGGGCCTGTCCTGACATGTATGGTATACTCAGTTTATTCCCAACTTTCTGAGAGTTGGTTCCCTGAAAGTGGGAACTGTGTTCAAACTCTTTTTGTCCTAGTACACATCAATTTGGGAGACTTAAGGATAAATACAACTATAGGTGAATACATAAGTTGTCACATAATATTTTCAAATATTCACAGAACACAATAGAGCACATATATATATCAATATAGTGCACTAGAGAGATGAAGGACTATTAATAATATTTATTATTATGTATATATATTCTGTATATATGCATGTACATATATACATATATGGGCTCTATTATGTTTTCTGAATATATATACATGTATATGTATATAATTAATAGTCCCTCACATCTCTAGTCTGCTATATTGATTCTGTATCTGTTGTTTAGAGCCTGAGCACCTAGAACTAGCCCTGAGTTTTAGGTCATTTATTAGGTATAAAGGCTGTGGAGGATATACACTGCTGACATGTTTTTCTTCCTCTCTATAGGAAAATGTATTCTCAGAATGTGGCACACTAAAAACAACACACCACCATCTTATTCACCAATCCTCACCATTGGCCAAATTCTACTTTCTATATAACCAAAGTGTCAACTTTCCTCACTCTATAACCATTGTGCCACTAATTTCCCAGTGTCCCAGAGAAGACTTTTTGTCTTCTTGGGACTAATGATTTCCCATTTGGACCTGCTGCCCCCTTCCCTACACACACCCCAGGCACTCATGTTCACAGGGCGGTCATAAGTCTTACTGTGCTACCACAGTGAGTTACCCCACCTTTTGGTTCCCACTTTAGGATTCTGAGGTATATCAATAGTGTTCAGTACTGAATCGTGCTTCACAGCCAATCCTAAATCTGCTATGGCACAAGTTTCACATTTTTTCACTAAGATATTCTTTGATTTTATATCTCGATGAGCAATGGCAGGTTTACCTGTGAAGTATAAGAAAAGCATATTCACTTTCTTTGTTACTGAAGATGAAATCTCTCCAAAAGGATTTTGAAGACTTTACTCAAATATTACCTAAAAGAGGTCTTCTCTGACCACCTATTTGTTATCCCAGTCATTATCCATGAGAGTATCCCATTTTGCCTTCTTTATAGCTCTTATCACTATCGAAATTATCTTGTTTTTTCATATGCATGTTTAACTATGTGTCTCTTTCAGCTAAACTATAAACTGTATAGGAGCAGAGACTGTGTCTTAGTCATCACCATGTCCTCAATGCCTAGATCACGAGGTAACATTTAGCAGCCACTAACATGTGTTTGCTGAATGAATAGGGAAGGAATTAGCATTACTCTGTCCACATAAAGACAGAAAATATTCTCTTACAGAACAAGTTTCAAACTCCTACAGCCTAGATCAGCGGTTGTCAGATGTGACCCTAAAATCCCAGGGGGTCCTTGAGACTGGTTTCCAACTATGTATCCGTGTGAAGTCAGCTTTTCTTCACACACTTCAACAAAACAACATATGAAAACAGACCAAATGAAGAACAGCTATGAAATACTAGATGTTAAAAAGATTTGCAAAAAAATTCAAGGCAAAACCATAATTTTTACTAGACTGGTTTTTGTCTTACAAAGAAATTATGTAAATTTTTTAAATTGTTAATGTTACTATTTAATTGGTTAAATAATTATTGTTGCTTTAAGTAAATTGGTATTTTTTAAATTCTCAGTTTTAGTTCTAATACAGTAAATATTAACAGACATAATTCACATAGACAAAATCTTTTGGGAGCTTTCAATAATTTTTAAGATTAAAAGGATCATGATTCCAAATTTGAGAACCACTACCCTGACTAGGCTAATGACTTTCTAAAGCCAATTCCCTAGTAACTTAATAAACAAAAAAAGACAACGAGTATCACTTGGCCTTCAAGTACATAATATGTAAATATTTTTTGCAAGATCATATTACCCTTTCCAATTATTTTGATTATCAAAGGTAAACATTTAAACTATTTGTATTTTCTGAATATAAAGCACTTGTCACTGAAGCAAGATCTCCCAGGTATACATACTAAATGGCAAAGATTGAGCCACCAGAAATAAAAGTATTATTATGGATGATACACGAAATGACATGGATGCAGAAGAGTCAGTGCTATGATGACAGTCTTCAGCTTTATAAAGCACCTTCAGTGTTTCTTTACATTTGATCATTATAATGAAGTAAAATGTAACTAAACACTAAAATACAACTTAGCATTTCTATCTTTATATTGAAGGGGAAGAAAATAGAAAAAAAATGCATACCTTGCGTACCAACAATCTCCATGTGAAGGTGGGCCAGACCACTAGCTATTGAAAGTGCCAGTTTGATCATCCCAGCCACTGTCACTATGTTCCTGTTCAAATAGTCATATAAGGAGCCCTGTTCATGATATTCCAAGACAAGCCAAAGTTGAGTCCAAGTTCCATTATCTAACAGGAAAAGACATTTGTTGCTATAAATGTATGTTGAGAAAGAAACCAAGGCTTTTAACAAATGTTGGTGTTTAAAATAAATCTGTATTGTTAATAAAGCAAAGTTAATTCCTTTAGGGAAAATGCTTACATTTCAAGTCAGTAAAGTAAAAATTCTCAATGAGTTTCTGAAGATGTTGATATATTACAACCAGTCATATGTACCCACCATAGCCACAGGAAGCAGCGGGGCAGAGATTGTAACTGAGCAACTCTTTCATATTCCCTCTCTATCAATACTTTGCTGGTAATGGCAACCACATTATAGGAGAAACTACAGAGAGATGCATTAAGGCTTAGTGTTGTGTTATAAACTACTCTTGAGATTTTAAAAAAGATTGTACCAATAAAAAACAGTAATACAACAAATTTATACAATGTATTCTTACTGTTCTAGGAGCTCTAACATTCTAAGAATGTTCATGTTATTCACCTTTCAAATATGAAACTGATGATTTTCCCCAAAAGCTTCTATTAAGAGCCAAATACAGTAACTAGACATTTTCAAATAACTCACCCCATTTAACCAAAAGCTAATTGAGCTTATAAAAGATTTTTAGCAGAAGAGAAATGAGCCTAAAATTTCTCTAGCTCCTAGAGTCCCTGCAGTTAGCTTTAGTTTTCAGGATAAAGTGCCTACAATAGACCTGGGCAGTCCTGACCAATTCTGATCCTCAAAGAAATGAAACTATAATGAATATTTGCTAAGGAATTTTTCTATGCAGTGTTTTATGTACAAGAGCCCCTCATTATCCAAACCTTTAATTTCCAAATCCAGTGGTGATAAAATTTCCTAGTAATGAAAAAATCAACACAACATGGTAAGGTTCGCTAATAAACTGACCTCATATAAAACTAACTCTTACTCACACCTCTCTCCCAGCCTAACACCAGTGGCTATCTTTGCCTTCACACATCAATGTCTTTGTGAGACAGCTGACTAAAAAGTGAAACTGTAAGTGTTACAAAAGATACAAAAATGCGTGATGACGAAAGTGATATAGACATTTGGAATCAGGCACACCACCACTGACAAGTAAGCCATGGACAGGGGTAGACCAGTAACTGAAGAAGAGAAAATCAAGAATGATCTTTCTTGTGCATGTTATTTTATAATCCAATAAACATCATGATTAAATTATTCTATCAAGACGACCCATATCACTACAGGTATTACTGCCTTTACCACATTGCTAATTAATCTAACCCAGGGATAGCAAACTCATTTTCACCAGGGGCTACATCAGCCTTGCAGTTGCCTTCAAAGGGCCAAATGTAATGTCAACTCCTTAACTGTTAAGGAGCAGTTACATTTATACAGTCCTAAAATTATTTTGGCCCTTTGAAGGCAACCACGAGGCTGATGTGGCCCCCAGTAAAAATGAGTTTGACACCCCTGAAACCAGTAGGTAGTTTAGTAAACATTAGGAAGGAAAAGAAGTTCTTAACAGTTTAATAAGAAATGTTTCATTTTCAACAAGCTGTTTATATTTTGAAAGAGTTTGAAAAGAATCTTTTTTTTAAGCTTATCTTGGCTTTACTCAGTTTCTCTCTAGCAAATCAGATAAGACAAATTATCAACAAATGAAATCATGGCCAAAATGTACAATAACTAGGCTTCTCTTTTGTCATGTAGTTAATAATGAATATTTTCATGATTCAGATTATATTATATAAAAATATCATAGATTTTTAATTTTCATGTGTATTGGTGAATACCAGATATCCAGAGATAGTTTGTTTTTTAGATAAAGGTTACAAGCTCTACCTCCCAAAGTTCTTCATGCATTACTGATTTGAATTTAAAAAAAAAGCTTGACTGGAGATTTGCTCACCTTTGTTCCCTGTTTCCCTGTAAAGACACTATCACACAGTTAAATGAGTAAAGGCCATGCAAAAAGAAATAAGAGCATGAGTAATCCACAAAGTTTATATCTAGTCCCTGATTATTCAGGTATTTTATGAATATTATTTAAATACCAGGAAGTTGACTCTCTGTCTTGTTCTACAAAACTCAAAAAGTAAAACTGTTTGGAGCTGTTAATATTAAATCTGAAGATATAAATCACACTCAGAGTACATTAATAGAAAATTTCACTAAAATTGTCTGGCTTGCTACCATTCCCATAATGTTCACAGAAAGCTTGAGACCTGGAGTTTAAGCCTGTTGTACAGATGAAAAAGTACAGTCCTAGCAAGGTGAATATTCAGCTAGCATTCACTGATATATTTGTATCAATTATCAAACTACTAAAATATTTTGGTCTTGATTAGTTATAAGCTGCTATCGAAAACTCCCAGTGATTCAGAGTTCTTAGGGTATAATCCTAGCAGTGGAATTGCCAGGTCAAAAGGCAGTTTCATCTTTAGTTTTTTGAGGAAATTCCATGGTGTTTTCCACAGTGGCTGCACCAGTCTGCATTCCCACTAACAACGCACCAGAGTTCCCTTTACTCCACAGCCTCACCAGCACTTGTTGTTTGTTGCTTTGGTTATGATGGCTACTCTGACCACTGTGAAGTGGCATCACCCTGTGGTTTTAATTTGCATCTCTCTGGTGGCTAGTGATGCTGAGCATCTGCATATGTTTCTGGGTCCTCTGTATGTCCTCCTTTGAGAAGTGTCTGTACAAGTCTTTTGCCCATTTTTTAATTGGGTTGTTTGTCTTCCTGAAGTGGAGTCATGTGAGTTCTTTATATATTTTGGAGATCAACTCCTTGTCTGAGGTATCATGGCAAAAAAAGGACACATGGACAAAACCAAAGAGGGGGGTAGGATCAAGGGTAGGAAGTGGGGATGGCTGGGGTGGGGGAATGGTGGGGGGAAAATAGAGACAACTGTACTTGAACAACAGTGAAAACAATGTGAAAAAAAAGAGAGAAAATTCCCAGTGTCGTTCCTTTGACCTGGACACCAAAAACAACCCCCATGACCCAACACACACCACCCCCTTCCCAAGATGCCTCTAGATCTTTTCATGACCAATCAGCTAAGGGGATGAAGCCCAGTATGGCAGGATTCTCCCAGGACTCTGTTTCAGCTGAAACTTCTGATCTGATTGGGTGGTCCACCAGTCATCGGGTATGTCAAATATCAGCCTGGCTACAGTGTCCTCAGGATCTCATATCACAGGTTTGCTTTGCTTTATTGTATGGTTATGCACATTTATCTGTTGAGAAGAGGAAAGGAGTTCTCTTCCCTCAATAAAGAAATTAGACCTTTATGTAGACATTACTGAAACAAAAAGACGATTTATTCTCATCTGATAACAGATATAACATTTTATTTATTGAAACCAATGAGATTGAAAATACCTTTGTTGTCAGCAGCAATGAAGCCAAGAATGTTTTCGTGTCTCAGCATAACCGTCTGATAAATTTCTGCCTCGCGAAACCAAGATCTTTCATCTCTGGAGGAGAATATTTTCACAGCCACATCTTCCCCACACCATCTTCCATGCCAGACCTCACCAAATCTACCTTTTCCTACTATTTCCTGAAGCACAATCGTCCTGGCAATTGTTCTTTGAACCAACAGAGGTAAACCTAACCAAAGAAAAGATGGAATTGACAATTAAGAACAAGAAGTGCCAGAAAACAACTGTCAGGATGACCACTTCTTTCACATAAAAAAGCAAAATTTTAAACATTTCAATAATTTTACTGATTTTGAAGAAATCAGAACCCTTATAGGTAACTTTAAATGTCAAAGCATGCTGGAAAAAACATTCCAAATTCTTAATATGAACTTCTCTTCTCATACCACAAATAAAAGTTTCTTGAACATAACCAGCTGCTACAGATATCTGATTTTAAGAATTACCACAGATCTCCCTGATTTGTGCACTAAAGCCAGTCAGGTGACTAAGTATACAAAAGTATTAAAAAATGCTGTTAGCCTTTATAATAAAATATATGGTTCCTAATACAACTGGAAATTCAGATGAATTCTTTGAGCTTTTTTCGCAAACACCAAATTAAAGTTGGACAGTGAAGAATCAAATTCAACAAGCAAGTGAGATAACCATGTTATACTAAAAGCAAGGTACCATCATAGCAAATATCAAATGGATACTTTCTGTGGAATAAAAAGCTTCAAAGAGTGCATGTAAAATATTAGATTCTTTGAATCAATAACTCTATCTCTATAATTCTAAGCTAAAGATTTGATACAAATGCAAACCAAATTATGTCAAAATGTTTAATATATTATTATTTATAGAAAAGATAAGGAAAAGTGTCTGACAAAAGAAAATTGTTAAATATAGTGCAGAGATTAAGAGCACAAATAAGAAGATCCCAGATTCAAATTTCAGCTTGCCATTGGTAGCTAACCATGGGCAAGTTTTTAAACTTCTCTGAGCTTTAGCCTCCTTGTCTGAAAAACAGGAGATAATAACATTACCTATCTCATAGGGACACTATGAGAACTAACAAGCATGTTAAGTACATAGCACAGTATCTAGCATATCACATACTCAGTAATAATTAGTCCTTAATATTAAGTCGTAGGTCAAATAATTTAAGGCCAGTAATAATGGCACTTCTTATGAAGAAGCATTTCTTAATGACATGGGAAAATACTTTTGCTATGTTAAATAAAAATAGCATAATAAATTGTACCCACCTAAATAACTGTACCTAGCTATTAAACACATGCACAGGAAAAAGACTGAGAGGGAAATACACTGAATGCTATTTCTAAATAGTGGAACTGAGGTGAATTGTGATAAGCTTCTTTCTAATTTTTTAATTTCTAGAGTGAGTATTTATGACTCATAATTAGAGAAAAATAGTTAAAGAGGTTCCAGTATAATGTATTTGGGAAAGTCATATTTAGTTGTTGCCATTGCCCTCCATAGCTGGGAAACCCTCAGAGCAACGACTGTGTGAGCTCCTGCGGGACTCGCCCCTGCTCCTGACATGAGCCATGGTGTACTCACACATTCTCATCATCGTGAGAAGCATCCACCATGACTAAAGAAGCACAGACCACAAGTTTGCCATTATGGGTCTCAACAATTAGTCACAAAGCCCTACAGCCAGAAAGTGCCTCTGACAGCATCTGGTTCAAATTTATCATTTTAGGGAGGAGAAAATTGGGGGCTTGCAGTCATCATGGACTGGCCCAGGAATAAACTTCTAGTGGGAGGCAGACTCCCAACTAAAACATTGGTTTTAGTCCAAACTTTTGCTCCCTCACCATTTAATGGATGTGATGCATTGCTCCCCTGTTGGGAAGATTTCTAGCAGCAACCTATATGCACTATTTTTGTAGGCTACAGTCAATTTTACCACTTGCCCACATACAATAAAAGTTGTGCTAACAATTATTAGGTCAAATCACAAGTCCAATCTCTCTCTTCCTTTCCTCAGCTTGCGCGCGCGCACACACACACACACACACACACACACACACACACACCACCGACAGCAACCACTACCAAAAACAATGTAACAATATTTGGCTGGAGAACTAGAGAAGCCAATGTTTGCAAACTGCAAATTGATCAAGCACATGATCAATGCCATGGACCAGGGACAAAGAAAGACATTACCTAAGGTACTCAGTACAGCAATTAAGGTGAGACAGTAAAACTCAATGAAAGTTGTCTTAGTATCTTTCAAAGTAACCACCAAAAATAATCAAATTCTTATGTTACACACTTAGAGATTTCATTTGAAGATTCATAAACCTTTTCCTCATAGGTTCATTTTACACTCTCACAGGGGCTGCAGGAGCTGATGCCTGTCTGATGGAAAGGCACCTTTCACAATGTCACCACCCATCAGAAGTGTTATATCATGAGAGAAAAGCAGCAACCTACCCAGTCTCTTAGCAGCCACCTGAGACACAATCCACTCTCAAAGACAGCCCAGGAAAACACCAGTCCATTTTCTTCTTTTGCAAGCATTATATGTCTTTGAAATTTGTCCCTGACCAGGTCAAGGATAAGCTTCACAATTTTTGTTTCTCGACATTCGACAGAGCTGCCTCTCGTTTAAGGTCACTGGCCAATTAAGAGGAACAGAGGGAAGCCAAACTGCCCGATTCCCTCCCTAGGGGCGAGGGGCGAGCATTTGTGACAGAAGCCTGAGTGCAGATGGAGCCATCTCTGGTTATCAGAGGCAGTGTTGCCATCACTGAGTCTAAGACAAGGTCACTGCCAACCATATGCAGCTGACTTAGGGAAAAAGTGCCTAAAACTCTTTCAGATTGCTCATTAAAAAAGTCATCCATGCGTGGGTACGTTTACAGCTTTCTTTTTAGGAGAGATCTTAGAATAATTGAAAGAAGAGAGTCCAGCAGCCAGTAAATCCAGAGTTAGATTTAAAGATGAACAAAAACAGGAAGAAGTTAACATTATTTTTTTTATTTTATACCCTGGCTCATGATTACCTTCTTAAACTAAATATACAGTCTCCTGTTATAAAATCTCTATTACATGTACTTGAAAGGAAAATCCTTGGTCATACTAAGCATAGTCAAAGAATTGCTCCAAAATACACATTTTATCCTAATATTTCAGATGAACTGAAATGTCTTGGTGGTAATTAATTTAATTAATTAATTTAATTAATTGCTTGGTTATTTAATTGCTTGAACTTCAGAAAGAAATTATTTCAGGTTTCAAGGAACTTGGCACAAGTCAGAGCTCTCTGTGCACATATTCGGTGCCTGGAATGTTGCCAGTGCTCTAAAAATTAGGTCATAGTGGGCTTCAAAATGTAATACTCAAGGAAGGAAAGGCTACTGAATCTGAACAAGTTTGACTTTTAAAGAAAGAATGCCATCTTTCTATTTGATAATTTAATTTTGACTTTAGTTTTATAAACTTTGCAGTTTGGGGACATTTTTCCAATACTCCTTCACTGAAGATACACCACCAAATAGATGCGGTGAGGGTATACACACTGAGATTTGGGTTAGGGAGAGAGCAGGCGACCTTGCCCCCAGAAGCAGCAAACTAGCTGGTCTCTCTGGGTGACATGATTAGGCCTCTTTTCTGGTCTCTGTGGTGAGTCCACAGCTGCATCATGTTAAATATGAATGCGCACAGAGATGCTCATAATGCCCCTCTGTTGTCTGCCCCTGTCAACTGTGCCTGCCCGGATGCTCCTACAGACCATGGGGAGCTCCTTAAAATCTGTTTGGGATAATCATCCTTAGTGATCCTTCCAAAGCAAGAGGGGATTCAAGGGTGTCTGAAGTGGCTCACCTAGGCTCACCCTAATTCATGTTTCTGCAACATCATATGCTGACCGGATTTATGGAAGTATACCTGAGAGCAAGGAACCTGCCACCATTTTAGGGAGTTTGTTATTACAGGGGAAACTCTCCTCCATCACCAGAAACCCCAAAAGGCCTCAGATGCTTTGTGCTATGAGAAAGGCTCATTTAGGCCACAACACAGCCTGGTTCTGGCATTGCTTCACCAGGGGTTCTGGAGCTCCATTACAGAGGAAGAGAATTATCACACAACCTTAGCAGCAAAAGCCAGCCCAGGAATGCCAGGCTGTTCCCTTTCATCTTTCATTTCTATGCTTTAAGAACATATTTTTGACTTTGATTTCAGGCCAGCCCCCTGGTAACTCCGCCCACACATCCCAGGGGTGCCTACAGACTCCAAAGACCTTCATAACCACAAGCAAAGGTGCTCTTTGCATAACTGAGTTCTTTTCCCCAGAACTCAATTCCTTAAACACAGCAACTCCTTTGTGCCCATAAAACAGTATCAGAAGAGCAACAGTAATTATTGCTAATCATAATGGAGGAGAGGAGAGAGCAGAGAAACTCTTTCTTGCTTTAGAAATAAATTCTGAAGGAGTGTCAGAATGAGAATCTGAATACCTAAAGGCACAAAGCCAATTAAAATGACTTAATTCTTTAGGCCTTGATGGTTTTTTCTCTTCAACAAATCCTACAGCAAACTTCTAGACTAGAACTCACCTTCTAGCACAAGCATTTTAAATGACGAAATTTGTAATATTGGGGCTCTTTCTGTTAAAAAAAAGTCTTTTTATTTATTTTGAAATAAGAGCTTCCTTACTGGCAAATGAACTACAGGCACATACCAGATCCGGATCCAGAGGCGGTCACGTCATAAATCAGATCTTTCAGAGTTTTCCCAGCATTTACCAGATTGCATTCAGAAAGGGCCTCCTCCACATTCTGTCTCTTTTTCTTCCGGCGTGTGCACTGTCGGCCTTGGCATGCCCAAATGGTCAGTACTGCAGCTACAGACAGGAGGCAAACTGGCACAGTAATGACAACGGTCATCTCCATGGGTCCGAGTTTTGGGGCATTTGGTGATGCTGCAGTTAAAAAAAAAAAGAACATGACTCTAAATAAACACATTAAAAACATTTCAGATATTGGTGATACAATCACCAAAATTTCACATCTACAATATGCAGTAAATAGTGTTCACTTATGTCAGTTGTCAAAGACTCTCTGTGTCATAAGCAAAGATGGAGAAAGGGAGTCAAGGTTACGCTGCAGCTATGGAAGAGTTTGCCAGGTGCCAATGGAGACAGAAGTAGGATCACAGAAAGCACTCACACACAGAAGATCCTTTTTAACACCTCCAAGCATTTGACATATTTCTAGTATTTTCTCCCCATTTTCAGCAGTCCATCCTTAGAGCACATTTATTCATTCATGCCACAAATAATTACTGAGTTCTTACAATATGTGGCCGCCATGCCACGTGTGGAAATACATTGGTAAGGGAGACCAAATCCTTGCTTGTGAGACACTTATATTCTCAAACACCCAGCAAGAGGAGATAAGTGCTATGGAGAAAAAAGGAAGCAGAAGAAATAGACAGAGTGAGGGGAATGCTACTTCAGATGATGTGGTCAAAAAGGTACTGGGAGGTACGAGGGAGCAACAACAGCAGGTGTCTCAGGGAAGCGTGCACTGACAGAGGGAGAGCAAGTGTGAGGTGCCCTGAGAAAGAGCCCTACTGGTGTGTTCAGGACAACCAAGGCCTAGAGTGCAGTAAACAAGGAGAAAAAGAGAAGGAAATGGGGTCAGGAAGTTAAAAACAAGAAAGATCATGTGGGGTCTTGCAGGCTAAAAGTATGGTGAATTTTATTCTAAATGGAAGCTGTTGCAGGATTTTGAGCAGGCAAATGAAATATGATCCAACTCATACTTTCTGTGGCTGCTACGTGAAGACACTAGGGGCACAAGAGTAAAAGCGAAGAGACAAATTAGAAACCTAATGAAATAATCCTGGCACGAAATTATGGTCTTGGCTGACAACCCTACCTAAAATAGTCCTTCCTTCTCATTCCTCATTCATTCTCTATACCCTTTTCCTGTTTTATTTTAATTCCTGGATCTTATCACCACCTGGCACATTATATAGTCATTTATCTATTATCTGATTTTCTCCAAAGAACATATGCTTTGTGAGGGGAAGAGCTTAGCCTGCTTTGTTCCCAACTCTACCCCATGTTCACAGTGGTAGGTGGTCAATACAGAGATCTTGAATAGCAGAATCATTTAAAGTTTTACTAGTTTTGTGCTTCATAAGTAAAGTTTGTGATTTTTAGTTTTAGAAAAATAAATATGATAATTGAAACCAAATAACATAACGATATAATTAAATTTGTCTCTCTAATTTTGAAACACATACAGCCAAATTTTTTAAAGTTCATCCTACATTAAAGAAATCTTCTTAATTTAGAAAAAAAAAGTAATACATGAAAAATCTATGATGTCAGATATTTCCTGTGTTTTTCAAAAAAGTTAGTTTGACACTTGAGATAAGCACATAGTTCCTTTTTCACTTACTACAGACAGCCTCACCTAGGCATCAATGTAATTTTATCCCCAGGTCCTAACATCAGGCCTGCTGATTTCTGTTGTCAGTAATCCCTGGGCTGTATTTGCTGGAATATGGGCCCAGAATGCTGGGGTCCTGACCTAATTCTAGGTTCTTAAACATCAAAGAAAAGAAGAAAAACGCAGGCTCTGGAGAGAGGGAAGCAGGTTATATGTGGCGGTTGTGCCTTGGGCAAACCAAAGCCTCCCCTGCAGAGAGTTAGAGAGCAAAGCTTAGCACCTGCACCTTAGAGTCTAGGCAAATGACACTGCCAATGGACCTTGTGAGCTAAGCTGTTCCTCAGACTTCTTTCTTTGTAATTGACAAGCATGCAGTTACATTAAATGTACTTACATTTTACTTATAGTTTCAACCAGAATATACAAATATAATTTGAAAACAAATATTATTTAATTCTAAAGGAAAAAATAATCAAATTCCTTAAAATTGTGTTCATGGAAGTTTCACTCTAGCCCTAAAAACAGTCAACTATCTACAACCAATGAGTAAAAGATTTAAAGTGAACTTTGGAAATAAACATAATCTATGTTCTTCTACTTTGCCTAGTGAATGTTGGCAAATCACCAATTTGCCTTCTCCTGAGTGTATCAGAATGCCTCGCAGTCATTAGAAGTTGAGCAGGTGCATATGAGGAGAGTTTGGCCCTGAGTGTTCTTATAATAAGGTATAAAAGAGTTCTCTAAGTTGACGTGGCTTAGAATCATTAACCATGGTACTTGCAACTTCTGGAGTTTGCTTACAAAAGAGTTTTATAATCCATTTCACACTGATTCTTTAATTTTATATTTCAAGTTGTACATATATTTTTATGGGCTCACAAAAGTATTGTAAGAAAGCCACAGGATACACTTAATCACTTGCAACTCATATAAACATCTATTTAAACATTTTATTTTGACATATGTTATTAGAAACTATCAATATAAACATTGAGGTTAAAAAGCTGATTGATTCCTTCATTTTGGTAAAGCTCTTTTAAGCAAAGCTCAGATCATCACCATGGCAACCAATAAGGAGGCAAAAGGTCAGCAACCCTGAAAATAGAATAATCTCCATAAAAATGCACTGCTCTAGTAAAAGCTATCCACTCTCAGGGATGTTTATCACAGATGGGTGATGTTTCTTCTTTTGTGAATAAATTTACTGATACAAGTTAGTAAGGGAAAAAAGATTACTCAGCTGGAAAAGGTCAGCAACACCATCCAGAAAGAGCTCCTTAAACACTGAGCAATTTTTAAAGCAAACATCTATAAAACTATCTTCTAAACCAAATGTTGAATATAATCTCTGTAGGAGACAAATGAAGAAAAACTGTTGTCTACACTCCATCAGTCATGGTAGAAAGAGACAGTTGTGCAGTTAAGACATTTTAATAAGTTACCTCTGATGAGCATATTAATTTTTCTAACAGGTTTTATATTTTTATCATAAGAGAATTCATTATTTGATTGTTTGCAATTTTTGAGATTATCAGTGAAGATGCATTCTCCATGGGAGAATATGTTAATCCCAAAAGTGAGGTCTGGGAAGTGCTGCTTTGCTAATTCAAGTTACCTCACTCCCTAGTAAATTAAATAGAAGAGGATGGGGAACAAAAGAGAGAAAGTACTAGTCCCCCTAGTAAGTTCCACACACACTAAACCAAGACAATGCAGGGGAATAAAATAGTAACAAATGAATACTCTTATTTGTGCAAAACAGAATGACACATTAAGCAATGAGAAATCTCCCAAATCTTCATGATGAACATTTTATAAACTGTCATTCCAAAGCATCCTTAAATATGGGTACCACTGTTTCAAACATTTGCTTGATGGTAATAAAAAGACATTTCTAATTGGTTTCTTGTTGTTTTACCAAATTGGTTCAAAGGCTGGATCCAGATGGGCTGGTTTGTATTACATTGCACTGAGCACAGCTCCCTAGGGGGGTGCCAGAGAAGTGGGGCACAGTCCACATCCTTGAGGAATTTAAACTCTAGTCAGGAATATGTCACCCACCCAGGGAACAATCCCAGAGCAATTTTGCAAGTAAAAATATGGAGGAAACTTTACGTAAGATCAAGGGAGGTGGGAGAAAAGAAAAATCATCATGAAGAGTTCCATTTGTGATGAATATTAACAAATATGTAACTATCCACACAGTTACACATTTGAAGTCCACACATGTGAAGCAAAATGGGTCAAAGGAGCTAAGTCACAAACACTGGTTTTATTTATCTAACACCCCCATGTAATCCTGTACTCACTGATGGCAGTCAGCCCCTCCACACCCTGAGCCCATCCTAGCCTCCTATTTCATCACAGCCGGCCTTATGAATGTCGTTGGGAATAATCCAGTCAGAAGTTAATTTGGTTAGATCCCTCCAACATGCTCTGCCGTAAGGAGCAGCAAATGGTCTCCCTTTTTCTCAGAATGAGAATAATCATGTCAAACAGGTTGTTTTTGGTCCACATGGACCTTAAATACTGAAGAATGTCAAAGTATTTTCTAATCTATAGATTCAACTGAGCCATGACAGTGATAAAAATAACATGAAAGTTATTTCTGCCTTTTGACAGTATCAGATGAGCTATTTTTGATGGGCCACTCCATTGTTCAGTGCTCAGTCTGTAAGTGGCTGTTAGCATCCACTGTCTTCATCTGTCCTGATCTCATGAGTGCACAGCAAACAGGGAGCAGCACACATTAAAAGGGTTTCCTAGACAGTTCTTGTGGCTGGTTTTCTGGGAGGAACACTGAGAAGCTTCAAATCTTTTTCTGTCCACTAGCCTCTGAATTCAAGTATAGTGATATTTTTATATTTTAAGGAAACAGAAATGTTGGATTGAAGAAGATAGTCTTTAGCACAAGGGGTATGAAGTACTTTGACTGAAGCAGAAGTGAGATGAAAAAGACTTTAAATGGGCTCTACCATTTCTTCTTAATTTCGGGTGTGGACCCAGAGATTAGTTTCTCAATCTGTCATCAAAACACATATCCTCTATGAAAACATTAGGTAGTAATTCCTCAAGGAATATCAGTTTTTCCTTAAGCCAAACTTCTACATGGGAAAAATGAAAATTCCTTTGAAGCCATGACCATCTCTTGTATCTTTTTCCCCAACTCACATTGGAGAGCCTCGTTCAGAGAGGACACTTAAAAATCTTGATAACAAAAGAAAACTTACACTTTTCTGTCTTAAATAAAGTTCATGCTGATATGATTTCTCCCACAGGTAACACATTCACACAGAGCAACTTGTTCACTTAGAAAAGACTGATGTGAGGGAATTGTATTTTGACCAAGCTCAAGGTCCTGCATGTGATAATCACACAAAAAGATAATTGAATAAACAGGTAATAGTATTTACAGAAGTGAGAGAGTAAGAGCTTACATAGCGTAAAACCCTTGATTTAGAATTGGTTATAAATTTTACTTTCAATTTCCCACTACGTCCCTGTGAACAAAATTTTATAA